GATCATGTGCAACATGAAGGCAAAGTCATTCTTCACATCGGGTATGTCACTGTAGCTGCTCTCTTCTCGTATGGACTCGAAGGAGTACTTCTTAAGAGAACGTCGCAGCATCCAGCAGAGAGTGTACATGCAAATCAAACCGTAGACCACGACTAAGCTAATGTAGAAACAGGCTAAGATTTTAAAAAGTGTCGCCAAGGGATGAGCACAGCGGTACAGGTTGTAGCCGGTCAGGTTCTCAATGTTCACTGAACAGTCCACGCTGAATTTAATGTCATGCACATAATACCCTGTGTAGCAGATGATCAAAATAAACGTAATAACCTTGATAATTGTTTGGCGAATGTACAGTCTGTACACAATGTCCCCTTCCTCCACGTGTATACGGAACTTCTTGACTTTTTCAAACAGGGCTTTTGCCTGTTCGCCCTCTTTTTTGTCCAAAACTCCTGTCTCTGTTCTATCAACGATGCCCTGCTCAAGGCGTGTCTTTGTTCTCTGCAGCATCGGAACACTGGCTTCAACATCATCGCTGATGACCGACTCCTTGTGGTCCACTGAGCCATTCATTTTTAATGGTTTTGGGTCACTCTCTTCCACCACCGTCTCCGACAGTGCCCTCGTTGTCCACGGGGAGTTGAAACATTTCAACAGGATGGATACAAAGTGCTCTAGTTTAGAACTAGTTCTGGGAAATTTAAACCAAAAGTTGCTGCACGCAAGGAATATAAGCGTGTGTAGTAACACTAAGTAGGGAAAATACTTGGCAAACCAGTGCAGTTTGTTCTCGTAGCATACTGCATCCACGTAGTTGTACTGGTGGCGGTCCAGGTTATACTGAATCCCTTTGTGCTCCACATACAGTGATGCAGATGTGTTGGTGTTGAAGTTCTTCTTGCAGGTGTTGTTGACCACCCACTTGCAGGGTAGGCAGATCATCTTGTCCTGGGTGACCTGCAGGGTCCCCCCAAACACAGAAATCATGAGCATAACAATGGAGATGTAGTCGGTGAACACGTCCCACCATGGTTTCAGGATGCGGTAGGCTGGTTGTGTGTCCACAAAGTACCGCAG